GTATGATATGTTCAATGTGTGGAACTTACTTGTAAATGCCCCAATGGCCACAGGTTGTTGCACAGTCTTTTATTTTGCATTTCTTTGTATTTCGCCAAAATTTCTTCGTTAAAACATCGTGGATCCAAAGTGGTAAAGACCAAATGCACTTTCGTGCGAATTCCCATGATGTTTGTTGTTGAAAAATGTTTGTTCCAAAACCAATGTCTTCAAAAGCTTCAAAATGCCAAGAATTCATGACAATGTTTGGACACGAAACGTCGTTTGAGGTTGAATCAAACAAATGTTGCGGCACTGTGGCGTGGTGTGCGGTCCACACACTACAGTCATTTCCCGCAGTTTTTGTGTTGTTTATGAAATATTTTTCCATCCTCCGGGCACAACCCCTTAACATGATGTTGCGGGGTTGGTTTTAAAATTGCACGAAGGTGATGTCGCTAAGGCAAAACATTTTTCGTGGAAATCCTGTTTCATGCGACCAAAAACGCGCAGGCGTGACTGAATAATTAAACCGATAGCGGCGAACAAAGATAAAAAGGCATCATCTGAAGTATCCGCAGTCATTGCATTTTCAACACAGTGGAATTCGTGGGACAAAACGTGTTTGTCAAAACATATTCAAAGATGCATCTGAAATCTGAACTGGGAGGTGAAAACGAAGATATTATGAAAATAATCTTAAATAAATTTGCCGCTTTCATTTTTTTCCTGATGCATCTGTGATGTAGACACCAACGTGATGCAGAAAGGTCACCCTTTGAACTTCACACAATTCAATTTGTTGTCCCAGTGTAAATTGGAAACGAAAAGTACTAATTATTCATTTTTGAGAAATATTTTCACTTCACCATTTACCTTGAGAGACAGTCTGGAAACATTGCTGTGCAGGTATGCATTCAGGTTGAGTCCAGACAAACGCCAGTGGATGACACACACAAATCGAAACGAGAAGTGTACAAAGATTCATCCATAGCACATAAACTGATGTGCATACTTCAGGCCCCTGAGGTTCAAAATAGTGTCGCTGCCCGCTTCGCATGGTAGCGGAGCACTTGTGCTTCCTACCTGCAAGCATTGCCGTGCACCGTTGGCGCTTGGTGCTGTGCCATAAGCGCTTGCTGCTGACTTTGGTGGCTTTCTGGACTGGAGCAGAGCTGATTTGTGGATTTTCAAATTTGGTGACCTTGAGATTTGCGTGAAAGATTGAATACCTGGTTTTGCACTGGACATTGAACAGTCTGCATACTGTTTCTGTCAATACCTCAGATTTTTGGCGTGGTACAATTTCTGGTGGGTGACATTTTTACAGGTTTGACTGGCGTTGGTGTAAAATTTTCCAGGTGATTTCATTTGGGATACAAGCTTGGATTTGAAACTTGCTTGGAGACAAAGTTTGAAGAGACGGTCACTTGAAGTTGAAGGTATGGCGCAGGAATTCAACCCTGCGATATTTCAAGCAGCCTTGCTTGAAGTGGCGGAGGCTACTAAAATAGCTACAGCTGCTGTCCAGGCAATGCAAAGTGCCCAGCAGTCGAGTAGCCCACAGGTTACAACAGCTAGTGCTTCTGGAAGTCCTACAGGATCACCACAGGGATCAATAGATTGGTCAAAGCTTGTGAACAAGCCCCCATTATTAGATGGGAAGACGGTGGAGGATGAGATTCGTATGTTTCGAGACTGGCTTTGGATGTTGACGCAGTTTCTAAACACCATTGATGCTGGTTTTGAATCAGAAATCCAATCACTTGTGGATACCCCTACATCACCCTTAGATATGTCCACAGCAAGCTCTGAGACGAGACAACGTGGAGCCAAGCTTTACGGCCTTTTAGCGTCGTTGTGCAGAAACCGCAGTTTGAATGTGGTGAGATCAGTGAAACAAGCTGATGGGTTCGAGGCACTCAGGCAGTTGATTCTGAATTTGAGGCCCTCTAGCAACAACAGAGGCTTGGCATTGATGGGAGCCCTTACCAATTGGCCTACGTTCAACATGAACCAACTTTTGCAGCCGCAGTTGATGAAGTTGGAGGAAGCTTTGGAAGAAGCTCGACGTGCAGGGTCAAGCATCCCTGACCAGCTTCAGCAGGCGATTTTGCTGAAGTGTGTTTCTGGCCAGTTGAGGACTCATTTGAACTTAGCAATCCAGGAATCTACAACATTCAAAGAGCTGCGTGAACAAGTTCTACGTTGGGACAGAAGTCAACAGAAATGGAGCAACCTGATCTTTGATGATGCTTCAGGTTCAATGCCTATGGAAGTTGATCGTGTCTATGCAGATGGACCTGGAGCAGTGGTGGTAAAAAGGGTGACAAAGGAAAGGGAAAAGGTGGTTCTTCAAAAGGGAATCAAAGTCAGAAAGGAAAAGGAAAAGGAAAGACCAAGACAAAAGATGGTAAAAGTGGATCAAAAGGGAAGCAGCAGAAAGGTGATTCAAGCGGCAAAAGCAGTGGGAAGCAAAGCTTTTCAGGGAAAGGCAAAGGCAACAGACCAGACGTCACTTGCCATAAGTGTGGTAAGTATGGCCACTATGCCCGTGATTGCTGGGGAACTTCAGTGCGACAGGTTCAAAATGAGGTTTCAGTTAGTGCACAGCCTAGCCAGCAGACTTCAGTGGCAGCTGGCTCACCATCTTCGACAACAAGTTCACAGGTGCCTGTTGCCCCTCAGCATGGTCGTGTTGCAAGAATTCAATTTGCAGATGCACATGTCTCAGATGTTTCAAAACATGATGAGCTAGTGTTTGACCTTCGAAGTCCTGTCAGTGATTCAAGTTGCTTGGATGGGACAATTCGAACTATGCAGTACTACATCGGTGATGAGCCCAATGCGACTGAATTTGATGTTGAAACATGTCTTTCAGTGCGTACGATGTTGGAAAGTGTTGATGAACACACCCAGATGCATAGCATACTTTTGGATTCAGGTGCCGATGCCTCAGTTTTTCCAGCGTGTATGGCAGAGCTTGGTGTTCCTTCAGCTGACATGCAAACATGTTTGAGAGATGCCCAGGGAAAGCAGATTCCTTTACATGGCATGAGGGATGTTGAGCTGCATCTCATGGATATGCAAGGACGTGCAATCATCCTGAAGGAAACGGTGGCTTTGAGTGATCAAATAGCACAGCCAATTCTTTGCTTTGGTCATTTGCTGGAGAATGGATGGAGTATCAACGGCATTGAGCAAACACTCACACATGGTTCTGGAATTTCCATACCCATAGAGTTGCAAAACAAATCAATGTCAGTACGTGGATGGGTACGTATGATGAGAAATGAGCCAGAGGTGTTGGATCCCTTTTGCATCAGAGCAGTACGTGCAGAAGTTTTTGACTGGCTTCATGACATGTGTGTTGGTTGGCATCTTAACCCAGAAGGTGTTGGTTCAGGAAAGCACTATGGAAGTTGTTACCAAGACCCGGCACTTGCTTGCCCAACCATGTCTGGAAGGAAATTCAGGACAACGTTGATCAAGGATGGAGACCAATGGGTCGTGATGGAGCTGTGTGAGCCCTTAGAAGAGCTGATTGATCTTGCAGCAGAGTTTCATGGTTATGATGGTGAACGTTTTATCATTACTGTGATCACAACGCATGAAAAAGCTCCACATGTCATGGGTTTCAGATTGATGGATGATGATGAAGTACCCCAACCTGCAGTGGAACTTGAGCAGGCCCAACACGCTGCAGGTGACATAGCGCCCATGGCCCCAGAAGATGAGGTTTTGGGAGTTGACATTGGAGACGACATGCAACAAGATGCAGGTCAAGCCATTGAGGGACAGTTGGTTTATGCACCAGACAGAGGAGATCACTTGAATGTCAATGGAACAGAACTGTTTCCACACACTGCCTTAGCAACTTTGCGTGAAGCTTGTGGTTTTTACAACTTGTCACAGTCTGGATGGAAAGAGCGATGTTTCAAACGTTTATGGGAGTATCAAAAGAAACTTGAACTTCAAACTGCATTAGCAGCAGCTCGTGAAACTGAAGCTGAGCAGATGAGACAGCCAAATCCTCAGAAACTGGCTGAAGCACCTGATGAAAGAGCTCAACAACTGCATATGCTGACGCATTTACCTTTTCAAGATTGGTGCCCCCATTGCGTTGCTCATCGATCAAGGCCAGACAGGCATTTGAGAGACGGTTCAGTCAAGGATTCTGGTGTTGCAACGGTTTCTTTTGACTTTGCCTATACAAAGGCAGTTGCTCCAGGTGGAAACGTGCAGGAGACAGAACAGGTGATAGCTTTGGTTTTGGTGGATTCAATGACAAATTTCACAGGATGCGTCCCGATCTCAAAGAAGAATGACTGATTTGATGGTGCGTGAAATTTTGCAATTCACCCAAGTCCTTGGCCACAGTGAATGCACCTTTTTGTGTGACAATGAACCAGCAATCATGCAAGTTCAGAAACGTGCAGTTCATGCAAGACAGATGATGGGCTTGGTGACTCACAGCAAAACTCCAGCTGCTTATGATCATGGGAACAGTCTTTGTGAAAACACAGTGAATCGTGTGCGTGGACTGGCAGGAACCCTGATGCACTCCGTCCAGGAGAAGCTTGCAATTCAGCTGAACACCAACCATGGACTTTGTCTCTGGGCTTTGAGACACTCTAGCTGGCTTCTTAATCGTTTTGCGGTGGTTCATGGTGTTACGCCCTATGAGCTGGTGTACCACAAAACCTACAAAGGCAAGATGACAGAGTTTGCAGAACCTGCATTTGCATACACACACACAGCTTTGAAGGGCAATCCTAGGTGGCAACGAGTCATTGTGCTGGGGAAAACTGAAGCTCAAGATACATATGTGGTTTTCACTGGACAATCAGTCATGCTGACGCGCTCAATCAGGCGTATCTCAACTGACTGGAAGTGCCACTTGGGTTTCTTCTTACACTTCAATGCACCGACATGGAGGTTCAAGGCAGGATTTGGAGGACGTGTTGTACCTACAAAAAGGGCTGTTACCGCCCAACCTGCAAGCTTTAGTGCCCCTCAAGGGAATGTGTTGCCCTCTTCTTTTCATGACAAAGATGCAGAAGATGTGAAACAGAAACAAATTGAGGAAAAGGCAGAAGAGCGTGAGACTTTTTCCATGGGTCAAGAAGACCATCCCAAAGAACCTGAGAAGTTTGAAGTGGAGACAATGGAAGGATTGCAAGATGCTTCAATTCCAAAAGAACATGCAACTGGCTCAGAGCTCTCACAGCCAGTGCAAAACCGACCAAAAAGACCAGGTGAAGTTGAGGTTACAAGCGTTTTTGATGATGCTGATGCTTCCTTTTTGCCTTCAATGGAAAACCAAGTTGATGTTTCTCAAGATCCCGGCATGTCAGCACCAGTGACACCCCCAGTGATTCCTTTGCAGCTGCCCCCAACACCACGGCAGCAGCATCCCACGAGAACTCATGAGATGGAAGAGTTGGAGGACCATGAGTCTAAACGTGCCAAGCTGGAATCTCAGAAGAAGCAGAAAATCACTCAAATCAGGGAACAGCATGAGTCAATGATCAGAATGGTCAAGTTTGGTGAAGAGGAGTTTGCAACAATGGACGACTATGAGCATGAGCTTGATGTCAACGAAAACATCCCAGAAGTTGAGTTTTGGGAGGATGAAGATAAAATCGAGTTCAAAGAGGTGCCAGACGCCTTGTGGTCAACAGCTTCTCTGGAAAAGCAGCCACCCTCGCCAGAAACATGGGTGGATCAGCTGGCAGACGAGGTTGAAATTCAGCGCCTTCTTTCAATGGGTGTTCTTCAAAGACAGGAGGAGTGCCAAGATGAAATCTCAGGCACTTTAACAACACGTTTTGTGTATGACTGGAGGATAAAAGAACATCCAAGTGGAGTCAAGATGTGGATGAGACGAAGTCGTTTTGTAGCAAGGGAGTTTGCAACAGACCGCAGACCAGATACCTACAGTCCTGCAAGTGGATGCCATTCGACAAACCTCATCCCAATGCTGTACCTCAAGATGTTGGCAGACAGTTTGGATAGCGTTGAAGGTTTGGGAAATGACAAAGGTAATCCATACCAAGTGGTTTTGGCAGCCCTGGATATCAAGGACGCCTTTCTTCAGGTTCCACAGGAAAGACTGGTGATGGTTTCCCTTTACAACCAGCAGTATGTCATTCGACGCAATCTTCCTGGCCAGCGTCTTGGAGCAAAGGCATGGTATTGGTATTTCAGAAAATACATCAGTGAGACTTTGAACTGTACTTGGTGCGTGGAACAGCCTTGTCTTGCAAAATGCGTAACAGAAGGAGTTTCCAACTGCTTTTTGATTCACGTGGATGATCTTCTTTTTGCTGGCAGCCGTGATTTCTGGGAGAACAAATTTTTGCCGGCAGTTACAAGCAAGTTCAACGTGAATTTCAGTGAGATCAAAGATGATGGCAGTTCGATTTTCTTTCTCAAGAGACAGTTGCTGAAAGTGAAAGATGGGTGGTTGATTGTGCCAGGCACCACAACTGGCAAAATCGTGGCGTACTTTGAGAAGTTCTTTGATGTGGCCCGACACCAAAAGATACCATGTGACAACTCAATTCAGAATGATGACAAATCTCAGTTGCTGAATGAAGGTGACAGCAAAGCCTATCGCAGTATCATCGGTCTACTCCTTTATGCAGCAAGAGACCGTGTTGATGTGATGTACTGTGTGAAGGAACTTTCATCATTCATGTCATGCCCTACCGTTTGTGCGTTGCAGAAAATGAGAAAACTTGTAGGCTACCTCAAGGCCACAGGTGACATGGGCATGAAGCTCACCTTGCCGGAGTTTGGAGCTGGTAAGTGGAAAAAGGGTGGTGAAAAGTTTTGGAACGTTGAGACCTTCACAGACGCAGACTGGTCAGCGCATAAGGCACACCGTAAGAGCACAAGCTGCGCTGTTCACTTCATCAATGGCAATTTTGCATACGCTTCAAGCCGAACCCAAAGAGTTGTATCGTTGAGTTCAGCAGAGTCAGAACTCCACTCAATGATTTCAGGTTGTTCAGACGGAATCTTTCTGAAAAGGTGCATGCAGTTCCTCACAGGTGATCAGGTCGAACAGTGGCAGTGGGTTGACAATTCCGCTGCAAGACAGTTGATCGAACGTCAAGGAGTGGGGAAAATCCGCCACCTATCAGGAAAGATTTTGTGGATGCAGACTTTGGTTTTGGAAAAGCAAGTTCAAGTGGGACAAATTGCAACCCAGTGGAATGTGAGTGACATAGGAACAAAGCCCTTGTCAAAGCAGAGACTTCTCATTCTTCTTCATCAAGTTGGAGCATGTGACCCCGAAACGTTGGGTATGATAGGGCGGGAGGAGTTTGACAGGTTTGAAGAAAGAATTGTTGGACAGCAATCAATGAAACGTATGACGAAGGCTATCATGCGTATGGCATTGATGTGGGGCCTTGAGCCTACTTTCAACATTGGAGCAGAAGCAACAAGCACTGAGGAGGTATGTCTTCAGGTTCAGGCTTCTGGAAGTGGCAATGAAAACTTTTGGTTGTGGTTTGCGTGGTTTGGACTTTTCATACTTTGGATTGGTCTTGCAACAGTTGGATATTTTGCATGGCGCAGAGTGTCCACAGACCTATACCATTGTTGGAACCAAGTTGGTGATGAAGATGGATACATCGCCAAGCAGGAGAAGCGCATCGATGACTTAATTGTGAAGTTGGAGCGCATGCAGATTCAAATGGAACAAGACTATGCAATGCTTTCTGACCGAGTGGAATCAACCAGCAACGAGGTTTCCATGACGCACGATTATGCATCAGGTTTGCACTATAGCCTGGTGGAACATGGTGGATTTCTGAGAAATGGGTGTGGGTTGAGCCGAGAACAGTGGGTTCACCTCACAACACTGGAAAGAGCCAATCTGGTTTCTGCAAGGACACTTGGATCGGTGGAATACATGAGACTGGTTAGACAGCGTTTTGCCCCCCAAGGTAATGCAGATGAAACAGATGTTGGTGCTCCAGAAGGAGATGAAAGTGAAGCCATGGACGATGACGTGCCAATGGAAGTCTCAACTGGAACAGACTCAGTGACAGACATAGTGGAATTTCTCAAGACCGAGCACTTGAAATGTTTGCAGAATGGTGACCTCTGGGATGCCAATGAAATCCAACACACGATTCTTGGTTTCTTAGAGGAGGTCAGAACAGAGAACACGAGTTCAATGCTTGAACGCTGCAAGCAGAAGGTGGTCGAGATGTTTGAAGAAATGTACAAAAAGGCGACAGAGCAAAACCGATGGGAAAGTGCAGATCATTACCAAATGGTAGCTGACATGTACCGAGATGGATGAGACAAAATTTTTCTGGCAGAGTTTCTTTTCAGATACAAAAGCTGGGAAGGAGCGTAAAGCAGAATGGAAATGTGTATTGCAGAGCTAAAGGCTACAGCAATACAAGGAGGAGTGAGAAATATTTTCACTTCACCATTTACCTTGAGAGACAGTCTGGAAACATTGCTGTGCAGGTATGCATTCAGGTTGAGTCCAGACAAACGCCAGTGGATGACACACACAAATCGAAACGAGAAGTGTACAAAGATTCATCCATAGCACATAAACTGATGTGCATACTTCAGGCCCCTGAGGTTCAAAATAGTGTCGCTGCCCGCTTCGCAATTTTTGCAAAGAATTTCTGATCATGCTCATGGATGTATACATGGCCACCTGCACCAGGATGACACGCACAAAACAGAGAAGTCACAGAACTTTAGCAGTTGGCAGTTCACTCACATGAATACCATGTGACAGTTGAGCATGTGAACCACATGTTCTTACCTTAGGCCCTGCGGTTCAAAACAAAGCTTGCGCATCTCCGGCTGACTCTTTGCATGGTAGCGGAGCAGCTGTGAGATTTCCCAGGGCTTACGTTTCCGACCTTGGTTAAGCCATAGACTTGGACGTGCCTTTACAATTCAGGTGTGACTGCAGCCTGGTGGACATTCAAAACGTTTGTGCGCTTCTGGACATCTCAACTGACTGGTTTTCATCTATTGGTTGTGGGTACATACAGTTTGCAGTGCAGGTTTTTGGATATATACACCGATGGCGGCAGGTCAGTTTGACCCCAACATATTTCAAGCGGCTCTCTTACAAGTTGCTGAGGCAACTACTGCAGCTGCTGCAGCAGCACAGAGTGCAGCAGCATCAGCCAGCGCATCAGCAAGCGCTATGGGCAGTGCAGGTGCAGGCAATGGTGGAACTGCATCATCAGGTGGAGTCAAGGCCAACGTGGATTGGTCCAAACTGCTGAATAAACCCTCTACTTTTGGTGAGGGCAAGTCTGTGGAGGACGATGTCAAGGCTTGGAGGGATTACCAATGGCAGCTACATCAGTATTTGGTTGCAATAGATGAGGGCTACGATGATGAGCTCAAGAAGCTTACAGCCGATCCTTCTGTTGAGTTGCCAATGGATACAGCTAGCGTTGAAACAAGGAACAGGAGCAACAAGCTCTACTCCCTCTTGGCCAGCCTCATGAAGAACAGGTGCCTAGCCATTGTCAAGTCCACTGCAAGTGGCAATGGTTTTGAGGCATTACGTCAACTGATTTTGGCGCTACGTCCCCCAGTTCAAAATCGTGGTTTGGCTTTGCTGACTGCCATCACTTCATGGCAGCCTTTTGGAATGCAGAAGCCTCTTCTTCCCCAACTTTTGGTTTTGGAGGAAGCCTATGAGGAGGCCAGAAAGAGCGGTATGGCTCTCAATGATGAGTTGCGCAGTGCCATCCTATTGCGTTGCATTGGAGGCCAGCTCAAGACGCATCTCAATATGGCTTTGACTGACAATGCAAAGTACAGCGATTTGAGAGAGCAAGTGTTGAAATGGGACCGCGCTCAGGCAAAGTGGTCTCAGTGGATGGGCGGCCATGAAACAGATGCCCAACCGATGGAGATTGACAGAGTTGAAGGAAAAGGAGGATGGAACAAAGGAAAGGGTCAAAAGGGAAAAGGAAAGTCGAACAAGGGCTTTCAGAAAGGCAAAGGAAAAGGAGGAAAATCTCCTGGAAAGTCAAAAGATGGAAAGTCCAAGTCTTGGGACAAAGGTGGAAAATCGAAAGGAAAGACGCCCAATGACAAGGGCAAAGGAAAAGGCAACAGTGCTGAGAAGTACTGTTATTCATGTGGTGGCCTGGGACACTTTGCACGTGATTGTTGGAATGCTGTACGTTCTGCACAGGCTGGAGCTACCTCATCACCTTCCTCTACAGTGAACACAGGTGAATGGAGCCATCTTACAAGCGTTTCTCAGCAACAGCAAGTACAAGGTAGCCAACAGTCTCAGGTGTCACAACAGCCACAGTCCTCTCCTAAGGCAACCCAATACAAGGTTGCACGCATTGCTGAAGAGTTTCATGCAGGCAATGATGCTTCACTGGTTTTTGATTTACGTTCGAGCCCAATGACGCCAGATGCAAACATTTGTGCAATTCACTATTTTATTGGTGATGATGATGCTGTGGATTTGGAACATACAACTGCAGAAGTGCGTGCGGTGGTTCAAGAGCTTCCTGACCACAGTGCTATGCACAACATTCTGCTGGACAGTGGAGCCGATGCCTCAGTATTTCCAATGTGTTTTGCATCAGCTGGTGAACCTTCATGCACTGGAAACATGAAACTACATGATGCACAGGGAAAACAAATACCTGTAGCTGGCATGCGTGATGTTGAGATTGCGCTTCTGGATGAACATGGACGTCTTGTGACATTCAGGGAACGTGGAGCCGTGAGCCCAGGTGTTTCTCAGCCCATCATTTGTTTTGGCAAACTTTTGGAAAACGGATGGGGAGTTGATGGCATAGATCAGACTCTCAATCATGCATCAAGTGGTACAAAGATTCCAATTGAGCTACAAAACAAGTCAATGGTGGTGCGTGGATGGGTTAGAGCAATTGGGGCAGAGCTTCAACTTCAACCTGAAGTTCCAACGTCCATTCGAGCTGTGAAAGCCTCAGTCCTGCCTTCAATTGAGCAAGGTGCAGTTGGTTGGCATTTGGATCAATTTGGTTTGGGGATTGGTCGACACTACTCCAGTCATTTTCAAGATCCTTCTTTGATGGTTCCTGGCATGCATGGTGAACGTTTTCGAACAACACTTGTCAAGGACGGCAATGACTGGTACTGTTTGGAGCTGTGTGAGAAGCTTACAACTCTTGTTGACCTTGCAGCCCCATTTCATGACTTTGAAGGTGAACGCAGTGTCCTTACGTTCATCAGTGATGGTGAGAAGGACCCACGTGTGCTTGGTTTTGTATGGGCAGACGATGATGTTTTGCAATTCAATCCAGCAGCAGCAGGTTCAGCTGATGATGATGTTGAAATTGTTGCACCTGAAGATATGGAAGTTCAAGGTGCTGACATTGAAGGTGGAGAAGATCATCCAGCAGCAGGTGTGGAGATCCAAGAGAAAATTTTAGTTGAACCCTTGCGTGATGACAAGCTGGTAGTGAATGGTGTTGAGTTGACAATGGACAGCACTCTTGCAACACTTCGAGCTGGATTGACGTTTTACAACCTTTCCACTTCTGGTAGCAAACAGAAATGCTTCACACGCTTGGCAAACTATCAGAAACAACAAGAACTGGAGATCATCACAGCAGCTGCAAATCAAGCCCAACGAGAAGATGTGCGTGAGCCTCAGGCACCAAAGTTGGCAGTGCCACCTTCTGAAAAGGAGCAACAACAACATGCTCTAACTCATTTGCCGTTTGCAGATTGGTGTCCTAGCTGTGTTTGCCATCGCAGTCGTCAAGACCGACACATGGTGGATGGAAGTGCAAGGCGTTCAGGTGTGCCTACAATTTCATTTGATTTTTGTCACACTCGAGCAGTTCCTGATGGAATTGACCCTGCTCGTGCCAAGCCTCTTACAGCATTGGTGATGGTGTGCTCTCAAACAGGGTATGTTCACTGCACCCCTGTCAAAAGCAAGGACCAATTTGAACTCATGACACGAGAGCTCATCTCCTTTGCGCAATTGCTTGGCCACAGTCAACTTGAGTTTATGTGTGACAATGAACCCACCATGAGGACTTTGTTGAGAATGGCCGTGAATACAAGGCTTGCGATGGGATTGCCCACAAGGGCCAATACACCTCCTGCATACAGCCATGGGAACAGTTTGGTGGAGAATGCAATTGGCCGCATCAGACCTTTAGCTGGAAGTCTGATGCATGCACTTGGCCAGAAAATTGGAATGGAGTTTTCTACATCCAATCCTTTGTGGACATGGGCTTTGCGTCACAGTTGTTGGTTGATGAACAGGTTCAATGCAAACAAAGGTGTGACCAGCTTCGAGCTCATCACCAACAAGCCCTACCGTGGAGGCATATGCCAGTTTGGTGAGCCTGTCTATGGTTACAGCAAGAGCAACAACAAAGGTTCAGCACGATGGTCCAGGATGATTTTTCTGGGCAAAGTGGATCCCCAGGATTCCTTCATCCTTTACAATGGTGTCAATTTGGTTTTGGTGAAATCCATTCGAAGGATTCAGACTGACTGGCGTGGACACTTGGCATTCTATGTCAACTTCAAGTGCAGCTCCTTTGACTACAAAAGCGGCTTTGGAGGGCGTGTTGTGCCTACAAAGGCAAACAGATCTGCAGTTGGTGCGAGCTTCAACCAGCCCCAAGGTGCAATCGAGCCTTCAGCGTTTTACGATGAAGATGGAGCAGCAGTGATTGAGAAAGCCAAAGAGGAGAAACGTGAAGAGCTTGAGTCAACAAAGATGGCACTTTGGGATCGCCCTGAGAAGGTTGAGGAAGAGCTCATTGAGTTGCCACCCACCGGCACTTACCCAAATCCAACAGATATTTGGGGAGAAGGAGAAGATGAGCCAATTCAGGTCACTGGAGGACCAGCCACTGGACATGCTGATGTCCCACCTGCAGTTGCAGCAAATGATGATGATGTTGTGGGAGTGCCCAATCCAAGTTTGCGTTTGGATGCACCCAGCACTCCATTTGATCTCTTGGCAGCGCCTTCGACGCCACCATCTCCACGTGCGACACCCACGACAAGGGTACATGATGCTGAAGTTGAGGAGGAGCACTCTCCAAAGAGGTTCAAGGAGGAGCCCCACAAGAAAGCCAGGTTGACAAGGCTTTCAGAAGAACGTGATGCCATGGTGCGTGTGGTGAAAATAGCTGATGATGAGTTCTACACCATGGACAGCTACAATGAAGATCCACAACTGGATGACCACTGTGATTATGGAGACCCTTGGATGGACGAGGACAAGGTGACAGCCAGTGGCATGCCAGAAGCACTTTGGTATGATGGGGACATCACAGTGCAGCCCCCGACACCTGCCAATTGGATTGACCAACTAGCTGACAAGATAGAAATCCAAAGGTTGTGCAACATGGGTGTTCTAATGCCTGAAGCTGAGTATGGAGCAAAAGTTGAATCCAGACTCACAACACGATTCGTGTATGATTGGCGCCTGAAGGACTACAGTGGCCCCAACAACAATGAGCCAACAAGAAAACGCTGGTTAAGGAGGAGCAGGTGTGTTGCCCGAGAATATGCCTTCTTGGAACACCGTGAAGACACCTTTGCTCCAGCAAGCTCGACACATGTTCTGAACATCCTTCCAGTTCTTTGGCTTCAGAAAGCAGCCGACTTTGAGGCCAGCAAAGGAACAGATTCAGGTTGTGAGTGGCTTCTAGCAACCTTGGACGTCAAGGACGCCTTTCTCATGGTGCCCCAACCTGAAGTTCTGAAGATTCGAGTTGGAAGTGAAAACTACATCGTCCTGAGGAACCTTCCAGGTCAAAGGCAAGGTGCTCGAAGTTGGTACTGGCACTTGCGCAAATGGTTGGACGATTCTTTCAATGTGGAAGGGTGCTTGGAACAACCATGCTTGTGTCGAGGCAACAACTTTTGCTTGCTCACTCATGTGGATGACATCCTCTACTGCGGCTCTCGACAGTTTTGGAATGATGTTTTCCTCCCAACGTTCAAGAAGTCTTTCACTGTGAGCTACAGCATGTTGGAAGAAGTTGGAAGTGAAATCAGCTTTTTGAAAAGAAAGATTCAGCGTTTGGAGAATGGTTTGGCCTTGATCCCTGGAACAAACATCGATGCTTTGGTGACCAAGTTTGAAGAGAAGTATGGACGTGTCAGATGCCACACTGTTCCAGGTGACAACAGTTTGCAACGAGAAGATGTTTCAGCTGAGCTTTCAAGTGCTGATGGCAGCTTTTACAGGATGTGCGTTGGTGTCTGCTTGTATCTGAGCCGTGACAGGCCAGACATTGTCTTTCCAGTGAAGGAGTTGGCATCAAAGATGAGCCGACCCACCATCAACTCACTTCAGTGCCTGAAACGCCTCATTGGGTACCTGAAGGTCAGCAGAGACTATATGGTTGTGTTGGAGCAACCCATTGGTGGGAGTGGCCAGGTGAAGCAATCAGCTGAACACCACTGGATTTTGGAGTCATTCAGTGACAGCGACTGGAGCACCAATCAGGAGCACCGCCGCTCAACTTCAGCTGGATGCCATCTTTTATGTGGATGTTACATGTACAGCTCAAGCAGAACGCAGCGCGTTATCAGCTTAAGCTCTTGTGAAGCTGAATTACATGGCATGGTATCAACCTTGGCCGACGGAATCTTCTTGAAGCGTTGCATTGAGTTTTTGGTGAAAGCAACAGTGGAACACTATCTACTGACTGACAGCAGCAGCGCTCGACAACTTGCCCAGCGTCAAGGGATTGGAAAGATCAAGCATCTTAGTGCAAAGGTTCTCTGGATCCAACAACAAGTCCAGGACAAGATGGTCAGCCTTTGCCAAATCTCTACAGTCTGGAATGTTTCAGATGTTGGCACAAAGGTTCTCAGTGCCAGACGCCTCAAACTGCTTCTACATCAACTTGGAATGTTCACGCAGGATTCCCAGCGTGTTGGTGAGGAGGAGTTCAATGAAGCAAACAACAGAGCTGGTGGAAGAAATGTCATGCAACTTGCGCGTGTGGTGGCACGGGTAATTGCAGTTATGGGCCTTGAGCCTACACGTGCAATGGGACAAGGGGATGAGACTTGTTCCAGCCCAAGCCTTTCAGCCAATGAATGGTGGTTCAAGCTTGGCATTGCGATCTTGGTTGTCATTTTGATTGCATTTGCAGTTGGATGCTTTGTGGTGCGCAGGTATGTCAAGCAATTGCTCCATGACCTCTACCACTTGAGCGTCCAAGTTGCCGAGGCTGATACGGTCATTGGTGAGCACATGCAACAGGTGCCCGCCATACAATCAAGATTGGATGGCCTGATGTTACAAGTTGGTGATGTGAGCCAACGCGTGGCTATGCTTTCAAACCAGGTGATTGAAACACAGAATCAGCTGGAAATGGTGAGTGATCGACAGGATGGCCTTCACTTTGCCATCATTGAGATTGGAGGTTTTGTGAGATATCACGATCTCACAGCACGAGAACGTAGCAGTATGTTCACTCAGGAACGTGGAAACATGATGGCCCTGAACACCATGGGGGCCAGCCAATACCTGAGAGCCATTCGAGCTCAATCAAGGGCGTTTGTCAGAGGAGGTGAGGACACAGACCCACCTACAATGGAGGAATCACAGCAGCATGAAATGGAAGTTGATGAAAATGAAAATGAAAATGGAGAAAGTGAAAATCGCACAGACGATGAAATCATTACAAGAGAGTTCAATCCAGAACGCAACATGGAAACCAGACGAGGTGAACTGACAGCCACTCTTGATGACTTGAGACGACAGCTTGATGAAGCTTTGGTTGGTGGACATTACAGTGATGGCGCCGAGATCCAGCAGACAATTCTCATGGTGCTGGACCATTTGAATAATGGTGACTTGCGCCTTCCAGACCAAAGACGTGTAATGTACCTCCAGTGTGCCGATAGAATGCAACAGCTGTCAAATCGGGTCAGGAGACGTGGCAACATAGCCTTAGCTGATGTCTACTTGGAATATGCAGCAAGCTATCGAAATTCAGTTTGAAGTTTGGATGAAAGAAAGGAGAGAGGAGGGGAATCAGAGCTACTCCCTATAATGCTCTGCAGTGCATTTTGCACACTACAACCGAGGATTTTCCAAAGGAAATGACAAAGCAATGTGAGAATTTACATACGTGCGTTGTTTGGAAAAGTGCAGCTGGCCGTGTAGCAGAAAATCTATGGATGGTGAGCTGAGTTGAAACTTCACCTCCCCAAGGAGGAGTGCAAAGAATTTCTGATCATGCTCATGGATGTATACATGGCCACCTGCACCAGGATGACACGCACAAAACAGAGAAGTCACAGAACTTTAGCAGTTGGCAGTTCACTCACATGAATACCATGTGACAGTTGAGCATGTGAACCACATGTTCTTACCTTAGGCCCTGCGGTTCAAAACAAAGCTTGCGCATCTCCGGCTGACTCTTTGCAATTTTGGATCCACCGCATGATTCCGCAGTACATTTGTTCTGACGTTTAATTTCTTGTGTTTCCATGTCTGTTTGACAAATCTTGACAGTTGTTTTCTTCGTAGTTTGCCTGGTAGTATTGATGGTGGATATTGTTGCCAAAACCGATGGCCCCAAATGCAACTGTCCCTCCCTGGAGTGTAATTATAAAACGCTTCGCGTTCGTTGCCCGTCTAGGTCAGAAAATGTTTGAGGTTTGTCGTTCTGCAACCTTCAGGTTGGAGGTTCTCAACCGTTTCCGCTTCCACATCCGCACACCTACCGATCTCGGCCACATGCTTTGTATATATGATCAATTTATTCTCAAAATTGTTAAGTTTCAACTGGCGCAGTGCGTGATCAAATTTTTGGAATAACATGGGTGCCCTTGTTCGTTCCGTGCCATGTGCGATTTTTCAAAAATCATGTTGCGCCATCATGCCCATCATGCTGTGCAACGCAACCATGTTGGTTGCGTTCATCTCAACCTTGGACACTTGTGGCTGGAGTGCCCGTGCCAATTCAAAACTATAATTTTTGCCCTGACACGTGTGGATGTGGCGCAAACTTTGAACTCACATTTCCTTCCATGGGGGTGTGCTGTAAATTGCCTTTTTTTTACCTGCGTGTTTTTTTGTTTGCAGATGGTCACTGGGTCGTTTGGAACCATCTCTTATCTGATCTAATTGTTTTTACACTGGGCCGTCTCTTCCAAACCTTATTTTACGGGTGGAAACGGGTAACAATGTCGTTGAGCGGGGGTGTCCCCGTCCTCCACAGGGGACATTTTGAAAAATCATTTGCCATTCTGCACCATTTGTGTAGGTTTCGCCAATGTTTTTTTTCACTTCTGGCAACGGTCGTGCGCATTACCTTCATGTTGTTTTGAATTGCCCGTTTGGACAACGATCTTGAAATTTGAATGGTGCCCGACACATCTTTGGTTCCTGGGACACGGATGGAGTCCAAGCAATTCCAGGGCGATATTTGCACGACACGACGGGATTGTAAATGGATGCTTTGCTATCTTGGCCGCTGCAACCCGAAAAAGTGCAAACGAGAAATCACAGGATGATGGCGGATACCCCAAAAAAACTGTAAACGGGTTGACGTCTGGAAAGGTAGCTGTAAGTCTGTAAGTTACCTGAGTTCTCCCTTGCTTTCAGGCTGGGAGCAGTGCAATTGCAGAAATTTGGGCCCGTTTAGTCTGGATTCTCCACTTGAGGGTTCCCTCCTCCCCCAGGCTTCGGCCCCCCGTCCTACTTTCAGAGTTGCATGCTCAACAGCAAGAACACTGGCAACAAGAACAAGGGCAACAAGAACAAGGGCAACAAGAACAAGGGCAACAAGAACAAGGGCAACAAAAAAAATAGAAACAACAGAAACAACAGAAACAACAGAAACAACAGAAACAACAGAAACAACAACAACAACATGAACAAGAACAAAAACAAGAACAAAAACAAGAACAAGAACAAGAACAAGAAGAACAAGAAAAACAAAAACAAGAAGAACAAGAAGAACAAGAAAAACAAAAACAAGAAAAACAAGAACAAAAACAAGAAAAACAAGAACAAAAAAAACAAGAACAAAAACAACCAGAACAAGAACAAAAACAAGAACAAAAACAAAAACAACAACAACAACAACAACAACAACACCAACAACAACAACAGCAACAACAGCAACAACAACAACAACAACACAAACAAAAACAAAATAAAAACAAAAACCACAACGACAACCCACCCGAAACCAAGACCTTCAAGGTAAAATTCCACGACGTGAGAGGTTCGATCAAGAACGTTAGTGCTGATCCCCCACCCCATTCCATCCCAAAACCAGGTCATTCAATGCAACACCCCACAGCACCCGTGAGCCTGTGGAACTCATAGAACCCGTAGCCCGCAGAACCCGTAAAACCCGTAGAGCTCGTAGGCCCCGTGAAGCCGGTAGGTGAAGTGCTTTTACGGGGCCCGTGGGGGAAGGGGCGTGTACGGCTCGCAAAGGCCGGCAGGGCCGGCAAGGCCCGTAGGGCTTGTCAGGCCCGCAGAGCCCGTAACCGACCTCTTATTGATAATGTTTGTGGCGCAACAAAAAATTTTAGCGTCCGCGGAAGGCTGTGCGCCGAAGTGTGGCAAAAAAAAATTGTTTATTTGGAAACCGGTCTGCCTCTAACCTGGTCAAACAATAATGTCTTGTTCCGTTTTGAACTGAAAATAGGAACGCGTTTATTTGATGCGAAATTGAAAGCAGACGATTCCGTCCAAAATGAGAGTGGGTTTAATTATATTCAATTGAATTCCAGATTTCCGTGAATTTTGGGAGATCGTCACTTAGCTACCATATGTCTATCGGAAGATATGGTTCAAATGGCAGCAACCTGTTGGTGGACTTCGGGTGACTCACACCTTTTTTGTTTTACCTTAGCATGGATCCCCCACATCAGAGTCATGGATGGTTCTCCTGATTGGCTAACGTGTTTATCACGGATATTCACCCCGCTTCGCGTGGGGTGGCCGCCCACACCGCAGGTTTATTTCGGTCCGTGAGAGGGGCTAAGGGTGGTTTTCCCCCGTGGGGGCTCTTCAAATAAGAAATCCTTCCAAAACATTGTTTTTGACAGTGTTTTTCCAATGTTTCCAGTCAAACAGACGGTAATTTACACGTTTTTTGCCATAAAGGCAGTAAATCCTTCCAAAACATTGCTTTTGACAGTGTTTTTGTAATGTTTCCAGTCAAGCATACGGTAATTTACACGTTTTTTGCTATAACGTCAGTCCAAAACACTTGTTTTTGCAGTGTTTTCAATGCTCTGGCATCCAAAAACCCTGCAAAATCTTGCTATGTACAATGTTTTTTTCATTTTTGGCCGTTTTTCCATTGCCGGAAAGCTACCAAAATGACCCAAAATTCCATTTCAATACCCTCTTGCGCTCAGACACCCAAAAATCCTCGAAAAATGTCGAAAACACCACCGTATTCTGGTCTCGGTGCGAAACCGTTTTTGGGGTCTGGTCTCGGTGCGAAACCGTTTTTGGCCCCCCTCCCCCCCCAGCTAAAGCTGATATAGCGACTGCTATATTAACAAATGTCATTGAGCATTTAGTGTTGCTGTTGCCCCCCAATAAGCACGCCTTCACCGCCAAAGCGGTGTGGGCGGACTTACTTTTTTTTTTAGCGTGAAACCAACATGTGACCAGGAATAATGTGAATCCCGCACACGTGTCACTAGTAATTACCATGTGTCACTTGTACAGTTTTTGGTTAAGACTTAGGGGTTTGAGCCAACTTGTGTATATGCCTGCAGCCAGGATTGAACTCAAAGGTGAAAAAGTAGAACCCAATACGCTAGCTGCCTGTGAACTTCCGTTTTCGCATGGTAGCGGAGCGCTGAGCGGGTAGCACTGACAGGCTCCAGGGACGCCCCGCCACGTCCCACTACAACAATGGTTGGTGGCAAAACCGTTCTTCTGGTCAGTGGCACACATTTGACTGGCAAGACAACCAAACCTGGACAGCGACAGACTGGTCCAGCAACACGTGGGCTGACTGGCGTGCCGGTGCCAGCGGTTACACCACACCAACCCCAAAGCCGAAACCTAGGAACAGGCGAGGCACGCACAGCGCGCAAAAGCAAGCTGAGCGACAACAACGAGCACAAACTAGACGACAAGCAGCCGCCCTTGAACCCCAAACAGGAGAAGAGAGTGAGGAGGTAGGCCGTAGAACATGTTCATCCCCATCTCTTGAAAGCAGGCCTGGTCGGATGAAGAGCCCGAAATCGTCCAAGCACTGCCGGCCGAGGAGGAGGAACAGGAACAAACAACTGTCCCCGACCCTGCTGTCACACACCCCGCCGAGAGAGCGGACAGCCCCGCCCATACAACTGCGAAACCCGGCGGGGAGGAGGACGTCGAAGAACCATCCCCACGCTTCGGTGCAGCATACTACGAACGGGCATTGGCACTGATCGAAGGAGGCGTGACCCACCAACCTGAAGACGGGAACAATGGAGCAATCACAGCCATCCAGCGGGCCGGCATCGGCCCAACACCAACCGGTCGGGATGACCGCACCGCAGCTCATAGAGCAATTGCAACAGATGCAGCAGCATCAAACGCAAATGGCAAACATGCTTCAAGCAGCTCAAAACCGGCAAGCTGAACTCGAAGCAACAGTAGCAACCCTTTGCAGCACCAACTCAGCGTGCAAGCGGTAGCCGCAGCGACCGCAACGTCAACCTGCCGTTAGTCAGCCTGCTGTAGCAGAGTCTCACCCTTTTCGAGGAGTAGATCTTCTCAAACAAGTAGTGAGGCCACCAAAATCACTTAGTGAAAAAGGGGCGGCTGATTGGGAATGGTTTGTGTTTCACGTTGAAACTTTTCTAGCTTTGATGGATGTCCGGTATCCAGAATATCTAGATGAAACCCGTCGGTCACAAAAACCTTGTGCTATGGAACGCATGGTTTTTGATTAGCGGATGTTATCCATTTTTTTTTGGTGTTTGATAACTTCATGGACGCAAGATGCCCCGAGTGCGGTGAAAATTGCC